ACAGCAGGCCATTTGGCATTTTTAGGGAAGATATGATAACTTGGAGATGGTGGCAGTGGTGTTGGAAAGAAATGGATCAAAATAAGATTTATGAGCAGGAGGCAGAGGACCTTTGCTAATAGACTCTACTGGTTGCAGCTCAGGGAGATGTGAGTTTGGGAATGATGGTAAGGCTGCAGCTAAGAAGAGATGGCCTGTGGTGGGAATAGTTAAACAACCTGTCATTACACTGAATTTACACATGGGACCCTGAGAATAGAGCTGTCCATCCTCGCCCCTTCTGTAGTGTTAGAGTTTCAGCATCTTCCTCACTAACTCTGTTGGTGAGTTTGTGTTAACTCCCTGGTCTGGTGATGTAGATCATGGGCAGGCTTCTTAGAACTTTTCCTGTGTAGCTCAGAAAGGAGAGCTGTGTTTATTACATGAGTGCTTGTATATAGAGAACCAGTAAGCCCAGGCTGACTTTAAGTCTGCCCCAGATTTCCTTCCATTAGATGACCAATTACCAAAACCCTTACTTGAAACTTTTCTTTTAAAAATCAAAATAAATAGAGTATTTGTTGTATGTTGGTGTGCCTGAACTTAGTATTTGTAGTAATGTTTACTTGGATTGATTTTTGTGGTGCACTTACTGAAGTATATGTAGAATTTTTGAAAGGCTCATAAATGTGTCTTACTTTATTAGCATATTGTTAGTTTGATTTATAAGCTAATTTTAGGATATATGAATAAAAATAATGGTTACCTCTCAATAAACTCAAGTGCCTTTTTGTTTAAAAATATAAAAACCTTAGTATTTCTGAATATACTAAAAGTTGAGTATTGATGATCTGAAAATCTAAAATCTTAAATGCTCCAAAATTCAAAACTTTTGATACCACAAGTGAAAATTGCACACCTGCGGTCATGTGACAGGTGACATATAAAAGAGTACTAATAGAATTATATAAAGTCACCTCAGGCAGTGAGATGTGTAAAGCATGTATGAAGTGTTGATGAATTTTGCGTTTAGGACTTTGGGCCCATCCCCTGAATATTTTATTTACATACAAATACTTAAAAAAAATCAATCAGAAACATATCTGAAGCATTTCTGTTGTCAAATATTGAATAGAGCATGTTCAACCTATAAGAGCTATCCATATTCAAAGTCAGTAGGCTAAAAAGCCTTTAAGTTTATAAGATTTTGAATTGTATTTTTTCAGAATTACTGAGTTAATCAAGTTTGGTTTTGTTTTTAATTGGAAAATATCTTACTATTCTTAAAATGTTAGAAAGTAAGCTGCTTTTAAGTTGCAAAAGAACACATCTGTTCTTTCTGAAAAATATTCACAGCTGTAAGCTTTGAATGTCTAGAAACTAATTATGAAAATACACAGAAAGACGAATGTTTATAGGAAAATTATGTCTTATATATGTTATAGTATAAAAATAACTATAGTATAGAATTGTAGACTTTGGGAGTCTTATGGTTTTATTGGTTTTCTTTTTTTTTTTTTGGTAAATAGTATTTTGTAATTTCAATGTTTATGCCAACAAGTAGAATGTATTTTAAGACACTGATCTTGTAATTTTTGATTTCTTGAAATATTAGCCATAGTCACATGTGTTTTCAATATGTAGTATGTGGTATCACTTTTACTATGCTATTTTTTGGGAGTTTTCATTACTGATACCGGCAAGTTATTTGGTAGAAAGAATCTGAAAATGCCATTGCAGCCATTCATTGTATTAAGCTATTAATAACTTTAATTCAAAAAGCAGTTACTTTCCTTCCTATTATGTTGAAAGGAGAAATTGTTAGTTACAATTTACTAAGTCATGCTTCTTTCTCTTGAATTTATACTGTATCTTCTTTACTAATTGACTGAATTCTCTGTTCTACATTGCTACCTTACGATAGGGTTTTGTTTTGGTTTATTTTTGGCATGGGATTATTTATACTGTTAAAGTTTTATTTTGATTTCTCTTCAGGAAACTAGGACATTTTCTTTTCCTTAACATATATCTATCCTCAAATGAATGGATTACAGTTCTGATACTTTATGTGTTGATTAATTATGTGGTCATTATTAAAAAGGCATGATTTTTCTTATTTATAAATGCACGTAAAATATACGTTACTCTTGTGTTTGCTATTTTAATATGTTTTACTTGTGTTATAATAGCTTTTTTGTTTAATGTAGATAAATTTGTTTTGTTTTAAAAGTGGAGAGGTACTTATCAGAATTCTGAATTTGCAGCTCTTTCAGTATCACCTGTTCAGTTTCAGATTGACCTTTGGGTTCTTAGCCATTGCTTGGAGTGTCAGCAAAATGATAAATTTGATACATACACTCCCAAAGTTAGGACCTTAGCATGTGTTCTGCAGATTTCTAGAAAAACTGGTAAATTATGAAGTATTTCTATACTCTTGAGGGAACATACTTTTGTGTTTCTAGTACGTCTTTCTAACCTGAAGCTGAAATGTGTTGACTCATTTCATTGCATATGGGGTTTTTGTAAATAGTCAAGTTTTTAAATATATGAAGCCCTAGGGAGCTTTCTATTGCCTGATTTTTAACTCACTAATCAGATCTTTCAGGGTTGTTAAGAATAGGCAAGTTACCTAGGCATATTTGGGAAGCATTTTGTTTTTTCAACGTCTTGAAATTTGGATAATAGTGTTGGATTAACATTTTTGTCCTTTTGGAATCTTGGTACCTGTAATTTTACACTTATCAACTATATGTGATATGTTTGTCAGTATTCTGTAGTAGTCACTGGATGTCCCACTTTATAATTTTATCCTCATACTTTTATTTATGTACTTTGTAAATTTTCTGTGTTGGAGAGGTTCACTCATGAGAAAAGCTCCCATTCCCTCTATCTTCTCTTTATAAAGACATGCGATTAAATCATCATGTTTGTCATAGGTTTGAGTGGAATGGAATTAATTTCTATCTAGTAGACATTTAACACACTTAAAGAATTAAAATTTTTGATACATTTTACCTCTTGATTTCCATTGGTTTCATTTTTTTAATTTCCTGTTTGTCTTTATAATTTTATCCGTTTAATCTTTATTTTGAGCTTATTTAGTGGTATCTTCTCTACATTTGTAGTATTTTATCTCTTCATTAAGGGTTTCTTGGTCAGTTACTTAGATTCCTTGCTTTAAATATAATTCATTTTCTTCTCTTAGAATTCATATCAGTATATAAGTATGATACTTGTTCCAAATGTGCTCAGAGATTTTATTACTAAAGTTGTATGTTGGAACTTCTCATCCTAGAGCTTTTAAAAGTGGTTCTTTTTATGTATAGATGTTCTAGCCTTCATTCAGGAGCATTAAACTTCTCATAATTCATGTACCAGTTGTAGTTATGTCAATGTTTGAAGAATCATTAGTGTAATATTTGTTATACTGTGATAAAGCCAGTTATTATTGAGATGGCGTGTAGGATTAGGAACTTTTTATGTCCATTTTCATGCATAGGAAAGTTATATCTTGACTATATTTCTGGAAGAGTTATAATTCCATCTTAGTATTGCTACTTGCTGGTTTAGAATTACAGTTTCTTTGCATCATATTGTGTATTTTAGGCTTAGCTTTTAGTATTTCTTTAAGCTTGTACCAAATGTTATTGCTGACCTGAAAAAGTCCCCTGCTTGTCAGGAGAAAACCAATATAGCATTAAAAACTAGTTACGGATTGGCTAATTAGTGTATAAGCAAAGTGATTCTACACTCATGTTCTCAAGTCTTATTCTGGAATAGATAATGATTATGGAAGGGAAAATGATTATGGAAGATGTGGGTATTTTGAAAAAGTTTCTTGTACAGTTAAGGTTTTGAAGTTTCTACTATAAAGCTTTATGTCACTTATTAACAACTGCCATTTCCAGATGACTTTATTTAGTCCTTTGTCTGGTGTTTTCTGTGCTTTTAGACTGTTAAGGCACGAGTAGCCTGTAGCAATCACATAGAATTTGTCAGTTAAGGCCACTGAAATGACCACTTACATTTCTCTCAGAAGACATTAATCTAGTATATTGAATACAAATATAGAAAGGGGTTGATCTAGATAAAATAATGTATGGTTGGGTGTACAAATTAGATTCAGTGATTTGCTATTTCAGTGAACAAAGCTGCTCTGTTTTAATGGATTAAAGATGTTATATGATCTGGTGAAATGACTCAGTGGGTAAAGATGTCGGAACCTAGTCTTCCCACCTGAGTTCAGTCCCTGGAACCCACATGGTGGAAGGAGAGAGTGACTCCCATAAACTGTCCCCTGGTCTCTAACTTGTGCCGTGGCAAGTGAGCGGCTGTAGTTTTTTACCTGTGCATGTATGCACACATACAAGTAAATATCAGACAACTAAATGATGCGGCTGCTTTTGGAGGTTGCAAAATTGAGTGTGAGCAGTGTTCACTTCAGGGTGGTTTGCTTAGCAGCACTGTCTAAATGTCCTGATTACAATCTTCCAAGATGCTGGTTTAAAGTAGAGAGTGAAAAGCTCTGTTTTAGAGAGACACTTACCTGTCACTAAACTCCTCATCAGCCTTAGGAATGCTGAATAAAATATGCTAAGTATTTTCTTAGATTGTTGTGTTTTATATCAGATACCTAGATAACCACTGACTGTTTAAAATGTTACACAGCTATAAATCAACTTACAGCTTTAAACAGCTTCAAATTTTTTCATAATTTTGTGTGAAAATTTTTCAGATTTGCTTTTGTAACCATTCTTTATTCAGGGAAAATATAACATTGTAAAATGTGTTGTGAGGTAAATGACCACTGGTAAAGGTGATTTATAAGCATCTAAACTTAGAAAATAAGGTAGAACCTTTTCTACAAATGGTTAATTATTATAAGATTGTATTTCATGAATGATTTTGATAATTTCCAAGGATTGTTTAATGTAGTTTGTTTTTAATTGAAAAATTTTTAAGTAAATTTAAAATATAATTAAGAAATAATAAATTTTGTCTTTTATTTCTTCTTTTTTTAGGGTATGAGTATTATAGAACAATTAGATCCTGTATCTTTTAGCAATTATTTGAAGAAATATCATAATACTATATGTGGAAGACATCCCATCGGGGTATTATTAAATGTGAGTATCCTTAGGAAGCCTTGACCTTTAATATCTGATGCTGTCCTATTTCAAGATATCTAAACTGTTACCATTTCAGTACATCTCTAATATCTCTAATATCATTATGGGCTTTGTGTATGTAGAATCAGTTTCTTCTGGTAACTTAATATAATTGTAGGTTTCTATTATTTGTTTATTTGAATAAATTTATCACTGGAATACAGAACAATAATTTCTGTTAACAGTTTTTTTTTTTTTTTGAAGATTGTCATATCTTCTCTTGACTCAGTCAATGCTGATATACTCACTTTTCTTTTTCAGAAGATTGAGTTTCAGATTTGTGTGTCTGTAGACATATAGGTACATATATATATACACATGAATGTTCTAGACACTATGAGAAATTAAATGGATGCTCCTCATGATCTAATACTGCAAAGTAGATCATGTGTGTCATTTTCTCTTAAACTATAGTGGTAAAACTTAACTTTGTTTACAAAGTATCAGGAGAAGCCAGGCATAATAGCACACATCTTTAATCCCAGCACTGGGGAGGCAGAGGCAGGCTGATGGATCTCTGTGAGTTTGAGGCCAGCCTGGAATAGATAGTGAGTTCCAGAACTGCCAAAGCTACATAGTTGAGACCCTGTCTCAAAACAAACAAACAAACAAACAAACAAACAAACAAAGGAATTCCAAGAGAGAAGTTTTGGCTTAGTTGGATTTTAGAAAGCCAAATTGCATTTGTTTACCTCCTAATAAATATGAATTTTCTTAAAGAAAATGTAACACTCTTTAAGAAGAATGAGAAAATGTCTTCTTAGGAAGATGTGGTGTGCTCGTTTAATTTGTTTGGAAAGGTATAGAACAGGAGGAGCCAGCAGGTGAAACAAGAAGCTTGAAGTAGCTGTTCTTTTAGCATGATTTGATAGTTGCATATATATTATGGACTTTTAGGAAGCCTTTTTATCTTGTTAAAGTAGTTCATACTGATTGAAGAGAAAGCCAGTCAAAGACCTAAATTAATTTCTGGAACTTAGGTTAGCATATGCTGCACTAATTTTCTAGAGTTTGCATTGAATCAAATAGTTATTTTAGTTTTTTTTGTATGAAAGAAATTACAAACCAGTACACAATTAAAAGTAAAAATTATACCATACTTTTATATCTGTGAGTTAAATAGACATTTCAGACTCAGTCAGATGAATAAAAGCCTTTATTACATTAAGATGGGTGGCCAAGATCTAGAGAATAGAGAAAAACATATGTCAATTATTTTGAAGCTAGATTAGGACATACTCTGTGAGAGTGAATAAAGTTTTTCTCAATTTGGTTTGAGGCAGCAGACATTCAAGAAAGGGTCATACAAATTGATTGTGAAATGTGTAAAGTCAAGCTCCCAACGTTTACAGTGTTCATTTTTTATATGATGTGTGTCATAATCAACTTTTTCTTTTCTTAGGCTATCACAGAGCTCCAGAAGAACGGAATGAATATGAGCTTTTCCTTCTTGAATTATGCCCAGTCGAGCCAGTGTAGAAGCTGGCAAGACAGTTCAGTGAGTTATGCAGCTGGAGCACTCACGGTCCACTGAAGCTCCGACCCTCAGGGACGCCACCTGCACAGACTCACACTCTGTCCGGGGTCCAGCCTAGCCTTTACCAAGATGTTGGTTCTGGTGTGGGGGGATCCTGAAACCTCAGACTAATAGAACTCTCTTATCTTCTTTTCTAGTAGGTGTAGTCCTCCTTAATTTCAACTCATTTAAAAATGCTTTATAGTTTGGGGCAGTGGAAGGAAGGCTGGAATCAGAATATTTTGATTTAAAAAAAAAAAAGATGACAATGTAAAGGCCCAATTGGCATACAGTTTTTGAAAATGACTTGTAAAGCATTTAGCATATCTGAAATTTGCACTCTTTGCAGACTCATGCACATATATTCCGCTTTCAGAATAGTTTTGCAGATTGTACACAGACAAAAAAGGGTGGAAGCTTTTTAATAAAAGAAATTGCATTTATAAATGATCTGTATTAGAATATAAGAAATCTCCAGTTATAGACAATTACTACCCATGTTGTACAACAGATACCTTCTATTTTAGTTGCTAATAAAGGGCTACACAACTCAAAATAGTCTGATTTAAACTTATTGCTTTGTGGTATAAATGGAAATTGTTTTTTTATTAATTCCATCTCAGAATTTTTGTTGAAATGGCAAGCCTCAGCTCCTATGTAAGAACACTAGATTATATTTTTACATTTATGTGATTTTTTTAATCACAAATTATAGTCATATAATTTTAAAGTTTAACTTTCAGAATTATAGTCATTTGCCTTTTTGTGTCTGACATACCCTCATGTCATGATTATATTGTAGTAGAATATAAATTCAAGGATGCTTTAAAAACAATAGATTTAGTCCTTCAAATGTTGTGTTTGATAGTCTGCAAATGAAGAAACATGGAAGAGTGTTATTAGTGTGTTTCAAGTCATTGCAGACCATACACCACTATGTTTTTTTACTGCTTTAAGCAATTTGACTCTTTTACTTGAATTTTTAGCAAGAAATCATTGACAATAACAGTAACAAGGCCTATTGGACTTGTAGTAGTCCTGCAAAATTTGTTTTTTTGGGGTGGGGGCATGATTTTTTGGTGCGGCTCTTCCAACTAAAATAATGGTATGGTGTTGTATTTCTTTATCATAGATTTATTCTAGTCATTTTGGCAAAAAAAAAGTGTAATTCATTAAGCCATCATGCATGTTCTCCATTATACCTATTTTAACGTAACACTGGGTGTCTATATCACTTTGGACAGTGTTTATATCTCCAGTCTTATGCCCAAGTAGCACAATTTTTAGATGCCTTGCACCAATTTTCTTTGGAGATTTGCATTTCTTATTTAATAAATACCAATTTTATATACTCAAGAATGAGAGAAAATACTACCTTTTAGATTCTAAATTACCTACTTATACATGTAGGGATTATACTCTTATATATCAATGATTTATTTTCCATTATTTAGATATGCTTTTGAGTACTATATAAATATTCTTTGTTTAATACAGATTATAAAAATTTCTGAATTGACAATAGTGATTTTTCAAATAATGTTTTCTGAGTATAAAATTTGAAAATACTGAAAAGTCAGAAGAAAAAAAATTACCTATAATCTCACTACCCAGAGATACACTGTTAAATGTTTTTCTGTATTTTTAGTCCTTGTGTTGTTTATGAGTGTGTATGTGTTTGTGTGTGCATAATAACAGAATTGAGATTATAGTGCTCATACAGTTGCATTATGCCCTGTTATCCTAAGTACCTACTACCTATGTCTTTGAAAATGCAATTTAAAAATGGCTGCCTAATGTGTTACACTGTATGAAAATAATCAGTTCTCTCTTTGAATGTTAGGCAGTTTCTATTCTTCCACAATTTTATAATGGATGTACATTCTATGTAAAATCTGAACTCTTATTATTAGACCCATTCTCTAGGATATAATCATGAAAATGAAATAAGTGGTTTACATGGTAAGAATTTCTTAGGCTCTTTAAAATACGCCAAATTACATTTCTAATTTCACCAAATTAACAGTGCCCTTCATCAGCATCATTTTTTCTAATTTTTGACAAATTGTTAAACAAATAATTGGTTGTTTCTTTTTTCTTAGGAGTTTCTTTCTAGTTAGTAATTTATTGTTTTTCTATAAATTTAGGGTGGTTTTTGAAAAATGACATAAGAGAGATATCTGTCTTAGAAGTGTGTTATACTGTACATTTTTGTTTCCTCATTTATTTGCTTTGAGACATGGTTTGCCTGTGTAGACCATACATGGCCTCAGACTCATGTATGAGCCTCCTTCCTCAGCCTCCAAAGTGCTGGGATTGCAGGTGTGTAGTACTGGGTCTACCGTGTACTGCATTTTGAAAACCAGAATATTCCAGCATCAGTTTGCCTATTCTTAGAATAAGCAGTCTTTTAAAAAATTTTTTATTACCTGTTTTTGGAGTAGAAATAGTTGTAAACTGATACTGTGTTCAGTTCAAATTCTGTCTCTGCCAATAACTAACCAGTTTCCTGAAGTGGTTTTCCCTGTCCTGCTGAAGCTCCCTCATCTGTGCAGTGTGCAGATGGTCTCTTAAGCACCTTCTCGTTTCAGAGTGCTGGGTTTTTCGACTTTAGTTTTTAATAGATTTTGGTGTAACACACTAGATAGGTATATGATTTAGATATTTTTATTTCATCTCTACATATGAAAATGAAAGTGAAAACCTTGTTATTTTAGAGAAAGCGGAATTTAATTGACTATTAATATAATGATACCATCTAAATTATTGGACTTAGCCTTCCTATTTTAAGTGCCTTTAAAGTTTTGTATTTCAAATATAAAATGTGAAATTATCATGTTCTATAATACAGTTCCTTTGTTAAAAACTTATGAATCATTTTCAGCAAGCTTTTATTTATCTTAGATCATACAGAAAAGTGTATTTGTGGAGTCCCCTCTCTCCCACTTGTCAATCCTTAAGAAATGTTACTCTAGAAATAAGCTAATTGAGCAGGTAAGTAAAGTACTCTGCCCTGGAAATAACAGGCCAGCATAAAAAAAAACAAATAACCAGTGAAAGTCCAGTGCTTATATTTGTATATTCCAGTATGGATGTTATTTCCTGAGCTCTAATTAATGGTTTTATTATAGCTATCATAGTTTGCTTTGGAAGCATGTAGTTCATTCCCCTAGATTAGGGGTTGGTAAATGTTTTCTGTGAGGAACCAGATAATTATTTTTGACTTTATATGCCACAGTGGTCTCTGATCTGCCATTGTAAAACAAAAGCAGCCATAGACAACATGTAACCAAACAAATGTGTATATGTTTAATAAAATTTAATTTATATTAAGATGGAATGCTGGTATTGGCCTGCAGACCATAATTTAACATTTCTTATCCTAGATGGTGTAATTGGCTAGTAATCTAGCAATAGTCTGCCACAGGTGGTTATATGTTTTTGTCATGTGAGCCTTCTTTTAATTTGATGCTGTGTCAGTGGCTGGATTTCTTACTGAATGTCCACAAAGGTAAGTGGGAAGTAGGGAGAATTAGGAACTCGTAGAGATTAATGTCAGAGCACCTTGAAGTCCTTGTATTTGCAGAAGTACATTGGGTTTATTTTGCTGCTGTTTGCTTTGCTGTGTAGCTAAGGTTGTCCTCAACCTCCCTAGAGTTGGTATTACAGGTATGCATCCCTAGGCCTGTCACAAGTGAACTGTTTCACATACGCATTTCAGGATAACAGACAGATACTTTAAAAATGTTGTTGACTTTTGCCATGTAAAGACTTGAAAAAAGTACCCTTTTCTATCACTCTTTTATTGAGACAGTGACCTCTAATAAATTCAGAATAAATGAGAGAAATTTAATTCAAATAATTGTAGTTGTACTACTATTTCTTTATTGAGACAGAACACAGGTGGTACTGTCAGCCCTGCAGACCTAGGCATTTTCAAAATGTTGTTTATAGTTGCCAAAATAACTAGTTATTAGAAACTGTACTGAGGAGAATTAATAAACTACATTCATGCTCCTGTGTTAGACTGGGAATTGTACATCATTGGATTATATCTGAAGATCTACACAGCAGGAGAAACAGAAAGACCTGTGTGGAACATGATGTAGTTAAAGGAATAGGTAGCATTTATTTTTGAAGAGGATGTTTAAGGAGAAGAGGTCTTCAAATATTTTTTGTGACTGCCACTCAAGAGGACTAAAATTGTTCTGTATTGTTCTAAGTTGTGTTTTTTTTTTTTTTGTTTTTTTTTTTTTTGTTTTTGTTTTTGCCTTTAATCCCAGCACATGAAGGGCAGAGGCAACTGGATCTCTATAAATTAGAAGCCAGTTTGGTGTATGTAGCAAGTTCCAGGCTAGCCAGAACAAAGTAGTAAGACCCTATCTCCAAAAAAAGAGGAGTAGGAAGCATAAATTTCTGGTCCACATTAAATGTGATTGTGAAAATTTTTGATGATGATAATTGGCTCTATTCTCATCAAATCACTGGAAATATTCAAACAAGTAGATCAGTAATTCTCCCAAGTAGTGGGGATACCGACTGAAACCGTTCTGTGAATAATTGTGTATGTAACACACACACACACACACACACACACACACACACACACACACACACACATTCACCCACCCACCCCTTAGAGGGACAAAAGCCAGTGGGATTAGTATAACTTAATAGAAGTTTGTATGAAGTGTGATTTTATTTTTAATCAAAGTAGATTTTAAACAATATTAACTTAACAGATTATGAATTGTTAAAATGATGCTTAGAGCTTTTGGCTAATTCTTTAAAGATGTCATTACAAAGCAAAATTCTATCAGTCCCTAATACACATTGAAGTTGTTTTCTTGTTTTTTAAATGGCTGCTTTCTCAAACAGGTACTTTGTCAAACTGATGAAGAGCAGCTATATCAGGGTGGTGTACTGAACTGAGAGAGGTTGCTCTTTTTTATACCTAACACTGTCAAAATATTGGAACTAACAGCAGCAGGCAGATAAATTTTCCTTTCATTTTCTATTATGGCCAGCATATACCTGCAAATAAGATCACATTGCATGGCATGTTATTACTAGAGACCGTTCTGTTTTATAAATGGCCCCTCCAGTAATGCTGGTACCTGAGACCTTGGCTTCCTTAAAATTGTTGTGGATAAATTCTGTTTGCCTAGCCTTATCTTCCTGAGTTCTTAGACTGTGTTAAGAGGTCAAATGTCTCCAGTAGCATTTATTCTTGGGTACATTGGTGATTTCAGACTGGTTTATATCTAGAGTCTATGTGTTTCTATTTTCCTTTCCTTCCTGTGTGTGTATGGGTTGGTGGGCGTGTTTTACATTTCAATACAAGGTTTTGGCTATTGCCCTATAAAATATTGAGAAAAAATTTAAAACAAGTTCTTCTACTTTTGAAAGCCATAGATAATATAGTATAATTAAGTTTTTTGTTACTAAGTTATATTCAAGTGTACATTTCTTAATGTAAAGTCAAATTTGTGTTTGATATGATCATGTATGTTATTCCAGATAATGAAACCAAAGAACACATAAATGCCATTATAAAAAAGCAGTTGAAGGCCAACTATATTCAACCATATAAGCAGGCATGAGTGCTGATCTTTAAATCTGCCAATGTAAAATTCTGGAAAATATTCAAAATTTACTGACTGATATTCTGAATTCCTCACTCAGTGTGATGTTATATATTTAAGTAAAACTAAAACACAATGGAGACAAAGTAGAATATATTGACTGAGTTTTGTGTTTTAAAATTAAATTCTTAAAAACTAAAGTCAGTTTTAATAAAAGGTATTTTAAACTTAGCTTTTATAAATGGAATTCTTTTTGAGAATTTTTTATTTGGAATTTATTCATCTGAATATAGGACAAAATAGACATTCAGTTGGTGTTGTTCTGTTATAGTAAATTGAATTTTGAAGGATTAAGAAGAAAAGAATACAGTAAAGGGTTTTCTACAATATGGAGTACAAACCTTTTAATTGGAAGCTTTTTCCATTTTTTGGTTTTAATGTGGGAATCAAGTTCCTAACTAAATCAAAGGAGGGTAGAATTTATTTTGCTAAATGTGTGTAATACCAAGTGGAGTGAATGATAATTAATTGTCCTGGTTTATTCAGAACCTTTGGTTTGTGATTACTGGTTTGTTTTGCTTTTATACAGTATCCCATGGTGTTGATCTTATCTCACGATATTGGAAAAACTTTGAAAGTTAGTTAAGATAGCTTTGGCTGCTTGCCCAGGGCCACCAGCTATGTCTGTGGTAGGATACTGGAGTGCTAGAAGCATTTGACTGGAGTCCATTTCAGCTTTGCAGTTGACTTGCTTTGTTTCCTGGAACAAATCATTAGACAACGAGTACCACTTCCAGGACATGACTAGGACAAGAATTTGGTTTTGTTTCATTAGTTCTGTGATTTTGAATATTATACCATATTCCATATTTTGGTTTTAGCACTGGCTGTTTGTTGTAAGCTATTGCATTTAGAAAGCAAGGGGTTTTGCAGATTTAATGAAATCATTTATAGAGATGCCTCTCAATTTATAAAAGTAGATTTCTTTTGTGGACTCATATACCTTAACTGCAGACATTTATATTCTCTAATGGGAGATTATTTTACAACTTTGGAATTGTGCTCTAGTGGTTATGTGTGACATGCCGCTTTTCTGTAATGGGACAATGACAAAAATTGTGTATATTAGTCTTGGTGACAGTAAGATGACAACAGATGCTTAACTCATCAATTCTGGCCCTTTATAAAGTGTTCTCCAAGCACCTGCTACTCTATGGAATTTCTCAGCTGCCTACAGAGCACAGTAGAGTCCTTGGAAATTAATGTCAGATGAGTAGCTCTTAGCCAGAGGTGGAAGGGAATTGGTGGATGAGTTGTCCAGACTTTCTGTCTCTCTGAGTGGTCTGGAGGCTTGTTTCATGCCGCCTCCTAGAGTTCACAGAAGAGGACTGGCCCTCATTGCTCACAACAAGAAACTGTTAAATACAACAAATACAAATTCTTATTTTTTTTTTCCTCCTCTGATACTTACATTCCTTTAAGGGCATTTACTGGATTACCTCCCAAACAAGCCTCTTATCTTTTAATTCGTATTTCTGAGTCTTATTTTCTGGGATTTACTTAAAGTGTTTGTATTGTATATGGGTTATGTTAAAAAATTATATTGGACAAAGATCTAAAACATCTTAATTAGTTTATCACATGCATATTCAATTTAATTTCCTTAGTTTTATAATGCAAAAGACTCAAATTTAGAACTCAAAAGTAAAAAATTTTCTACTTGTGCTTTTCAAAGGGTGTTGTGGGGTTATATAAATGTGGACAAAAGTGGATTGTTTGCTAGAAATTGAAGGTAGAACAAAGAACTTGGTATGTTCCCAGTTAGACAGAATGTGGCAGTTGGATCCAGTTTTCACATCTTTCACTGCTATATACAACCAGGGACCAAGGCCTGGCCTTGTGTAGCATTGACTATGATGGTGAGTTTAGTACCTAAACAGTTTTTATAAAGATTATTCTGTGATCTTAGTTAGAATGAGACTTTCTATAGGCTTATTAAAGAAAAGGAATATGTGTTTTAGAAATTTAGTGAGCTCTATATTTAATTTAAAGGCTATTTAAGGGCGTGGAGAGATGACTTAAAGGGTAAGATAAGGTCACCAGCTGCTGTCATAGAGGACTTGGCTCAGTTTCTAGCACCATGTGGCAGCTCACAGCTGTCTGTAATTCTGGCTGTAGGGAATCCAGTGCCCTCTTCTGGCCTCCATTGATACTGGACATGCATGTGGTGTACATATAGACATGCAGACAAACATTTATGCACATAAAATACATATAAATCTTACAGAAATATTTCAGGTACAAAAAAAGAGTCAATTCTAAGGTTTTTTAATGTACTGTTCTGTCTTTTACTGCCTTTGCTTGTTACCTGCATCATTTACAGTTCTTTGATAGCATCTTTTAAAAGTTAGAATGTTGATTTTTATAGTGATTGAAAGAATATGTAGAAAGTTTGTATTTATGTTAGATACATAGTTAAATCTTTTTACTATAAAATTTATGTAAAAAGTTTTAAATATATATTATCAATATAATAGATGAAATTTAAGTAAATATTTAGTTCAATGTATAGACCATTGAGTCTGAACACAAATTTAGCCATAAGAGAGCATTGGTAAATATGTCTTAATTGATTTTTCTGGCATGTTAGACCTGTTTTTCCATCTGTCAATCTCTCATCAGAAATACCAGAAAATATTGATTAGATGCTGCTAATTTGCCTTTTGACCCCTTTGAGATTCTGTCCTATACTTTT